CAAGATCCATTATTCAATAGAGCAAGAGCATTGGAGATGCTGCGTACGATTCTCTCTGGTACGAATCAAATTCCAGAGACAGTCGTATTATATTGTTGTTAATAATGAGGTCGCAAAATCAATTGACTATTACAATTGGAAAGATAATGAATTTGTCTCTAGAACAATTTAGCAGTGTAAGTCTATCACAGATTTGTTTTCTATAAGTGAAACTCTTCACAGATTTTATGCTGAAGATTTGTCTCATCGATAATTGTTTAGAATCAATAAGAAATAGAAAATGCGTTATTTCTTTTAAAATATAAATAGAATGTTACTATCAATTAACTTTTGTCATATACCATATATTTTTATATTCAAATACATATTTTTATATAGTTTGCTATTTGGTTCAAATAGCAAATAATATTTACTGCACATTGCTACATATTATAGAAACAAGTCAAATGACAAATAAATAACTTTTCACATTAAATTTAAATATTTATAATTTTTACATAAATATTCTTATAATTATCAAGTATTACTATTGCAGATTGTAAAAGCTTCGGCCTCCTACATGTCAGTCCTGCTTGCAATGTATTGAAGCAAAACTACATTTCATTTACATTAAATTTTTAATAAACAGCTTGTTATTGTTTAGTTTTTAAGAAATGTGCATATAAATTAAAACAACAAGAACCATTGCAGTATTACTTACTATTCTTTTTCATGTGCGTGTACATTCGCATGCGTGCGTGCGTTTCAATTGGAGTAAGAATAAAACTCGGGACTTCCAGACGGTAGATCGATGACTCGAGATACGCAATTTTTATTAAATGAAGTCGGTAAATGTAACCTTGTACTGCTTTCTTTTTCCCCCTGTTAGCATTGTCTGCATCACTTTGTGAGTCTCGATAATTTCTTTTTCCTTTTCTCTTTTAATTTTTCTGTAGAACTTCCATACGAACATTATACTCTTGCTGCCTGCACGGCTTCTCGCATTATTTTCAAGTCTCATAATTATAATTGGCTGCTATCGCATTATCCGGACAAAAAAGAGAGTGAGAACAAATAAGGGAGAGAACGAATTCGTAAACTTTCTGTTATTATTTACAATTTCGTAATTGTATATCTATAGTTGTAATCGAGTATCTTATGTTCAGTACCAAAAAGATGTTTAATATGATTATTCGTTTTCTCTCAATTGCTTGTCGATGCGCTTTCGTGTTTCAATTTTCAGTAAGGTAAAACCTGCTAATGTTTGATGCTTCATAAATCATTGATTAGAGAAGCTTTTTTCTCGCAATTATGAAAATGACTGCAATGAGCAAATGCTTCTCTATAAAATTCATTCTTTGCAACTTCGGTATCTGGCTAGTATTATGCACTGTTTTGCGCAGGTTGTTCTGGTTCGTGACATTAATCGTCATTCAATTTGTCAGTACACTTATATTGCATTGCACTATCATACCGATGAGCTGATGGATTTGATGGACAATTTGAGCTGCTTTTTGACAGGCGTACAGCCTGTTGCTTTTTAAACTGATTATCTTCTGACGGTGAGTAAATGTGATTATTCTCATTTTAAATCGTCTTCTTTCATACGATACAAGTATCAAATTGCTATTTTGTAAGTTATTTAGCATTGGTTTTTCTGTACGGTGTAGATAGTTTTGCGATATGTTGACAGCTGCGGATTAAAAAGAAAATGCGAAATATCCGTTCAGCATGAACATGATGACGAACATGGCTATCAATATCGCGTTTCAAATGCATTTATCGGCCTTTACATAGCCGCTATAGTGACCTGTAGTCTGGGCATAATTTTGTCGGGGGATATTGGAGGTGATAACCTTAATATAACGACTGCTGCCGTTCAAGCACTTGTTTTGAGGATCATCACATCAACAGTTTACCCGTGCACGAGCTCGTAATGATCATGCAATTTTTTCACATGTTAACACAAGCGTGATTGACGTGCTAAACGCTTTAATCATGACGTTGGCAAATCATAAGATTTATCGTTAAATTTCGAGTGATTTTATGTTAGGTAATCATCATCAACGTAACATGCTTCCGATCAAAAATTCTCGATGACTATAGATATTGATAAAACTTTAAGGTCAATTCTGGAAACTAAAATTTAAATCGTTTAAAATAATATTGCGTCGATATAGGATGATTTGACTGTCATAATTGAAGCGATGTGTGGAAGAAAGGAACATAAATTAAAATTATTTAATTTTGACTTATATAATTCAAAAGCTTTTCATTTTTTCACAAATTTTACTTTTGTATAATCAATCAATATTGATTAACTGTGTATAATTATTCTAGAATCACATAAATGTAAAATAAAATAAAGATATTTAAAATAATTTTTACTTGTGTATCTTTCTTTCAGCTCAATTAATACTTGAACATGTGTATATGTGTGTCTTAGTTCTCCCATAATTATTTATGTACAATGTTATAAAATCTATCTCAACAGTTATTTCTGTTTGCTGTAATTTTTAGGTATTTCATGTTGGTGGACGTCAAATCGATATCACACGAGAACAGTTGATAAACGTATTTTCCAGCATACACATAAACAATTTAACCCAAATCCACAATAAATAATCGGATAGAAAAACAGCGAAAGATTATTTTATATATGTATAGAGAATGGGAGAGTCTCTATTGTTACATCGCGCTGATGCAATTTATTTCGAATACTTTAATCATTTGCTCCATAGGATTTGTTATCTCTATTGTGAGTAAAATCGAGAGGTATCAATAAGAAACAAATACTTATCGATAATTTCATGACTTACAGTAGATATATTATTAAAAAATATCTCTAGAATACACTTTTTGAAATAACAAAAACTAAATTATTAATAACGTAATTAAAATGTTTTAAAGCTAAACAAGTGATTTGAATTTTAAATGGGGGAAGTACTTGTTTCAACACTATAAAATAATGTCATTCTCTCAACGATGCTATTCTGCATAATGATATTAAAAGGGAGGGATTTTGTTTTTAGAGAATTGGTAATTGCATGGTTTGTAGAATAAAGCTGTAAAAAGGGTGTAAAGAGTATTAATGCAAATAACGTTGCAGTCAATAAACGGTCCAGACGTTTCCACAATGTTGGAGAAGACTCTGCTGTTTTACATCATTATGAACTTCGAGGCGCCCAGTTTTTTCTTTGCCGAAGAATACTTAAGTACAAAGGTCAGTGTATAAAATTTTAACTTAACAACTCGATTTCATAATCCATTTTGAAGTCGTTTAAATATGAGGTTTCACATCTGGGCATTTAACGAATGGCATTTAATTAATACCTACCCTGTAAACTTTAATCTCAACAATCGAGCATATTATCTAGATTTGCATAACCGATTCAACAACCTCAGTTACGTAAAGATTAATGACAATTGGTTTTTGTTTTTATATATACAGGGTGTTTTTTAAAGAACGCTCACTAATTATATAGCGCTATTCCTTATAAAAAATTGAGTCCTGAAACATTTTTTTATAATGCTTAATAAAGCAGTAATTATTGAGAGTAAAGTTAATCCAATCAATGTCATCTTTTAGCTGGGCGTACGTTAATATATTTTCAGAAGTATATTTTTATCCTTTTTCGGTGTCGGCGTCTTACGTATCTCTGATGGCCATGTCCTGAAAAAGAAAAAGAAGAATTAATTATGGTTAGTTGTGAAAGAAAATAATCAAGAAACACCTGAATATTATCATTTTTGCAGAACATATTGAAAAACTGTACTCGTATATTGACGGTAAGTGATTTTGATTAATTCTACGGTTAAGAGGAATATATATTATAGGAACTGCGCTGTTGATTCTGCAGAATAAAAGAGTACTAATTCGTGACTTTAATTATTCATCGTTTTATTTCATTTCCCTTGCTCTTTTTTAAAATTCTAGTCGATTGATCGACCTAATGCTGCAGAAAGTATAATCAGGAATTTCGTGTTCTACATCGTTGTGAGTGTAGAAGCATATGTGTTCTGTTTTGCTGGAGAATACTTGAGCGCTAAAGTTAGATATTGAGACGAATATTGTATATACGATAAACATTACATTACATAATTGTTTCTAAAAGATACAAGATCCGTTATTTATTATAGAGCAAGAGCATTGGAGATGCTGCATACGATTCTCTTTGGTATGAATCAGATCCCAAAAACTGTCGAACAATATTGCTCTTAATAATGAGATCACAAAATCAATTATAACTATTACAATTGGAAATATGGCGAATTAGTCTCTAAAACAATTTAGCGGTGTAAGTCTATATCTCATTTGTTTTGTACGCGTAAAAATTTTTACAGATTTTATGCTAAAAATTGTCTAGAATTTCTTTTTAAGATAAATAGAATATTACTATAAATCATTTTTTGTATATCACTTTTAATATAAAATGAAAAATAATAATATATTTTTTATTTTATATTTATATTTTTACAAAAAAATATAGTTTGAACAGCCTGACACCTTTTCTCTTGAAGACGTTAAAAAAGCTAATCGATGTCTACCTGTGAGATGTTATTCTTGTGCTGCACTCTCTTTGTACTATAGTAAGCATCTCCACAGAAACGACGCTTCCCTTGTTCGTGTCTTCAATCTAGGTACCGTTCGACACTGAGGATCGCATGATACAACACCTCGAACGTTATTTGTAGAGAGGCGGGGTGTTCCGGACAGATTAAATCACTGAATCCGAGGCACGCTGAAACTGATGAACTTGTGCTTCTTAGCTAGATATTTTGTCATGTACTGCCGTGACTTCGTCACCCATCTTTTAATTTACAAATACTTGCAACACGAGCTATATTTTCCGCGCAATACTTATTCCTAAGAAAGATATCTCCCAGCGATATGTGTGAGTTCGCCCGTCGTTCCCTCTTTTGCGACGCACTACCAACAGCGAAACTTCACTTTCGCATCGTGCGAGTCGTGGAAGCTTGCATTTTGTACTATTTCCTTAAAGCTTATATTTTACCTATTTGTCAATTGCGAGAAACCGTTAGTACTGCAATATAAAACTTCACTTATCAATTCGTTTCTCCGTCTTCTGCTTTTGGCTTATTTTTTGACGATTATTGCGCGCAATCT